TTTACTACGAAGCAATTTTTAATTACCTTAATTAAACCATTTTTGTGTTAACGCATCCTATAAAAAAGAAACGTAAACGTGAAAAGAGAAACGTGACCACCTTAAGAAAAGTTAAAAATTATACTTAATTTATTTCCGTTCGAAATCGGGCAATACATCAAATGACATTTTTCGCAGGAAATTTTTACTAGTATCACCTTCCAGAGTTTGGCGATTAAGAACTGAAACAAACTGTGTATATATCTATCTATCTATCTATCTATCTATATATATATATATATATTCGCAGTCTGGCCAGAGACGACAAGCAGTTCACTTCGTTCCTATAATTTTTTCTCTCTAACATTCGTACCTTCTGTTATTTCTTCTTAATTTTTATAAATATGTTTTTTTTTTTCATCACGGTCAAGCGAGTTTATTTACTTCCTTCATTTATTTATTTATTTATTTTTTTAGTCAATTATTAAAGAAAAAGACCGTGTTTTACTAGCTGCGGATTGAAGAGCAGCTATTAATCCTCCTAAGCTTCTGAGTATTAAAGACCAACAACACCCCTCTATTGACAAACACTCGTCTGATGTGAGTAAATATTATTATATTATCACGAAAATGGTTCAGTGCTCTATTTGTGATAGAGGATCTCTAGGGAGGACAAAACTAATATAAGCTGCAATAAATGTCAGGTCATCTTTCACGGTAAATGCTGCAAACTGGGCGATAAAGAGATCGAGAAATTAAAATCTCAAAAAAAGGTATTGCTTTGTAAAAAATGTGACCAAGGCAAAAAGACATACCAAATTAGAGAAAAATCAGCCAGTCCACCAAGAAGTGGAATCAAGGAGCCGTCAGCAACTGATATTCTCGGAGCGGTTAATCGACTTAGCGCCCAAGTCAATGAAGACATTAAAAATCATAAGTCGTCATTAGAAAAATACGGGGAGCTCAGCTTCGAAAATTTCAAAAATAGAAAATCATCTAGAGAGCCAAGCTAAACATCTGGAGGAATTGACTACGGAAAATAAAACGCTGAAATCCAGATTGGGGTAAATCGAGGTACGATTAAACAGAGCCGAGCAAGGCCTACTCTGTAGATCGGTAGAGATCCGAGGCATTCCGGTACGTGCAGGAGAGACTCCTTCGGTCCTGGTTGCCAGTGTGGGAGCTGGTCTCGGTGTTAAGATTAACATCGAGGACATCGATTTTGTGGAGCGCCGTAGACCTAAAAAAGACGATCCTAGACCACCACCAGTTATAGCTCGCTTTGTGAGGCAGGCAGTACGAGACGAGCTGGTCCAAAGAAGCAAGGTCAAAAGGGACTATTCAACTCGAGACATCGGCTGACAGGAAAACAACTCCCACCGGATATATCTGGGTGAAGAAATGACCCCTGCTAATAGAAGATTGTATTGGCTCGCACGTCAGAAGAGAGGGGCTGGTGCTCTAAAATACGTATGGTTTTCGGCGGGTAGATTGCGCTGCAGAAAAGGAGATGGCCATCCCGTGATATACATCGACCAACCAGATGATCTAGATGTTTTCTGCTGACCTTCTGATTTACGTCAACCTACAGAATGCATCCGTAAACTCCCAATCTTCTATAGTATAATACAGCACCGTGCTGGGTTGCCCATCTACCACTATTATTGTTATTGTTTCTCTATTTTAACCAATGTAATTTTTGTTTTCTTTTTTTTTTTCCTCTTTCATATTTTTGAACCTAACTCTATTTTGTTTGTATTTTTTTCTTTTTTCTTACAGTCATTATTTACTTCTTTCCAAATTTATTTTCACAGTTTTTTCTTACCTACAGCGTCATCCATCATATGTATACTTTTTTCCGTTATGTCTAGCGTCTTAACTACTTGCCATGTTAATTCTCAATCCCTTCCTGCTCACTATGACGAATTTCTCCAATATTTCACCCGTAACTTCTACCACATTATTGCAGTCTCTGAAACATGGCTTAAGCCCTGTATCCCTCCCTCTTCCGTTTCCTTACCTGATTATACCTTCATTCGTCATGACCGGGTTTCCCGGACTGGCGAAGGTGTTGGTCTCTATGTTCATAATAGCCTGAAACCCCGTATTCTAGATATTTCACCCCCTTCCAATCATCCTCACATTGAATTCCTCTTCGCTGAAATTTCTTGTAAAGCACATCCTCTCCTTTATGTGATTGTATATCGCCCTCCTTTGACTCCTTTTGACTCATCCTTCGAATCAACCTTGTATAATTATGTCCCTTTCTATAATAACATTATAATTTCCGGTGATCTTAATACCAACCTCCTCACAGAATCCAACAACAAACGCTACTTGGAAAATCTCTTCTTCTCCCTTAACCTTTTATTGTTCCTTTCGCTCCTACACACCATACTTGTTGGTCTGATACCTGGCTGGACTTGCATATCATCGATTCAGAGCAGAAACTCTTGTCCTGTTCTCAATTACCCGTTCCTTTCCTTTCTTCTCATGATCTCATCCAATTATCGTACGATATCCAAACTCCCACGTTTCTTCCTAAAACCATAACTTTCCGCAATCTTAAAAACCTCACTCGTGATAAAATCCTACCGGACCTTGAAACCCTAAACTGGAACGATATTTATTCCTGTGGCTCTATTGATCATATGGTAGACATCCTCACTTCTAATCTTATCCATATTCTTGACATACATGCCCCTATCAAAACCTCAACTTTCCGTCGCCAACCTGCTCCTTGGATGTGTCAAGAAATCCGTGACATGCAAAAGAGACGTGGGACAGCCCGTAGACGCTTCAGACTAACTCGACTAGCAGATGACTATCAAGTCTATAGGGTACTCCGTAACTTGACAAAAACAACGATCAGGAAAGCGAAATCAAACTTCTTTCACGAAACCTTCTCTTCTGCTCCTGATTCTAAATCAATATGGCTAACCCTTCGTAAACTCTCTCTTTGTAAATCCTCTTTCTCACCGATCTACCCGGTTTCACCCGATGAACTAAATTCCTACTTTATATTTTCCACCACCAGCAACAGTTCACCCACCTCTCACCAGTTTTCCTTATCACCCTCATTTAACAGTGATAATTTCTATTTCTCCAACATTTCACCAACCGACTTTATTTCCTCTATAATGAAATCCCACACAAACTCCATCGGACTTGATGGGATACCAGTCAAACTGTTAAAACTATGCCTTTCCGAAGTCGTTCCAGTTCTCATTTTCATCTATAATTTTTCCCTCCAAAACTCAGTTTTTCCAACTGCTTGGAAAAAAGCATTAGTCAGACCTATCAACAAAATTCCCAATCCTACCTCTTCTAAAGACTACCGCCCAATCTCCATTCTTTCTAACCTTTCTAAACCTCTGGAAAAAATAGCTCAATCCTAAATCTCTAAATTCCTTGAAAACTAAAAACTACTCGATCCTCTCCAATCTGGTTTCCGACCTGGCTTCTCCACACAATCCGCCCTACTTAAAATTACCAATGACTTACATACCGCAATGGACGAAAAAATGTTAACTGTGTTAATACTTCTCGACTTTTCCAAAGCTTTTGACTCCTTAGACCACTCTATACTCTATAATAAATTAAAATCTCTATCCTTCTCCAACAGCTCTATCCTCTGGTTGCAGCCTTTCCTATCCTACAGATCTCAAGCAGTCAGCATTCCAAACCAACCTCTATCTTTATTCAGGCAGACCTAGATAGGATCAGTGCCTGGGCAAGTCTGAATAATTTAAATCTAAACGCAATGAAGACTCAGGCCATTATTGTAAAGGGTTCCAGTCCTATTCTTAAATCCAACTCCTTCCTTCCTCCTTTAATCATCAACGATCATCCTGTCACATTCAGTTCCTCCGTTAAAAACGCCCTCATCTCCCGTAAGTCAATAGGTACCCTTAAGCTATTTCATCGCTCCCGCCACCTACTCCCACAACCCATCCGCAAGCTCCTTGTATCCTCTCTCATTTTCCCCCACTTTGACTACGGCTGTGTGGTGTACGGAGGCATCCCGATGGTACTCGAGGATAGATTGAAGCGACTCATGGATATGTGCTTAAGATTTGTCTTCGGTACATCAAGGCGGTCTCATGTGTCCCACCTTTACGACGAGTTAAAGTGGCTCTTCCCTTCTTTCCGCAGACAATATTTCCTCGGATCTTTCCTATTCCAAACAATCAACACCAGACACCCTTCCTACATCTACAGTCTCCTACAGTTTAAACCCGTGATCCACTCCCAGAAAACAAGATCCCGTGTTTCCGACCTTTATATCCCTTCTCATAGAACTAAGATGTTTGAATATTCCTTTATCCCCGATCCACAGCCTTTTGGAATTCCTTGCCATCTGAAATCCGCCATGCCTCTTTCTTGTCCTCATTTAAATATCATCTCTACCAATTCCTTCTCACATCCCAAAATGACGTTATACAATAAAATAAATATTGCGAAACAGATTTTGACAGAGGTGAATGGTTGATAACATTGATTGGGTTTTAATTTTAAAAATCAACCCATTCTTATTTTATTTTGTTTTCTTTTCATTTAAATAATGTTTTTTTTTTATTATTTCGTTTTTTCTCAAAATTTTATTTTATTTTTACTTGTTTTAATTTAATTTCACTGAAGATACTGTATATATTCTTTAATATTGATTAATTGATTAATGTAATTTTTGGCCAGATTTAGTTTTTATTTTTTTGTTCATATCTGTTATTCATAAGGGACCTTGTCCCAGAATGAAGTTTACTTTCTATCTATCTATCTACCTATATATATATATATATATATATATATATATATATATATATATATATATATATATATATATATATATATATATATATAAAATCACATATAACTAATTTAGTTATCTAATCATTTTTTTATACTTTCAATTATTTTAACAATCTTAGTGCAATATTCTAATTATTCTCTGAGAGTTTGTATACATGATTTTAGGGGTTCGATAATAAAAATAGTCAAAAAGAAACTAATTTTAATCTTACTGAACGATATCTCCTCCAGTTGAGAGTTTCCAACTGTTCTCATATGTTTTACAGTTTTTTTCGAAAACTTCGAAATAAACACTGTGGTATATGAAAGGATCTTTCAACCTATATACAGAATACCTAAAAAATAATTTCAAATTAATAATTATCTAAGTTTTTACTGATACACATTTAAAAAATATGCTTCACTAATTATCAATATCAAATTTGAAAGAATAAAAATTAGTCAATGCTTACCATAGGTCGCTAAACCGCAAGCAATGTGCACTTTCATGGTAAGTGAAAGGATTAGCCCAGATTGGTATGTAGCGATCTACGCAGCTTTGACCGCCTCTTTTCTGCACACCACTTACTGAGATCTGTCTTGTGTCCCTACTCAGATCATAGCTTTCATTTATAGCAGGCTCGAAAGAACTCGATTTAGGTTCCGATTGATTAGATTCAAGTGAAAATTCTAAAAAAAAAATTAGTATTAAACTCACATATCTTATACAATCGCCCACTGTGCAAACCAACAGAAAAGTTTTTCTTCTGTCTCGCTTTCAGGATAAGAGAAAAAGAGTTTAGAGAGTTCGAAGGATCAGAACTAACGGTAGAGAACATCGTCGGACTGATGCTACTCTCCCAGAAGTGCTAAATGGCGGGACAATACAGAGCAAAGTAGGTGATCAAGAGGCTGAGGACTGACGGAGTGACCCTTTTCCTCCTGGCACCATGACAAGACCTCATAATTATATAATTATTTTGTCAAACTATCTTCCACCAGGTTACCGACCACCCCACCCCTTTGCAATATACAGCCACTCCTTTCTGAAGTAATACCTAACGGTAGTCCTGTGGAGAGAGGGAAACATTTGTTTACAAACAAATGTCTACAAACAACTCTCTAGAGTTGGTTTTAGTGGGTAAGAATTCTACACATGGATAGGTATAGGTCTATTTGTGTCTTTTCCAAGTTTTCCACCAATTATCGTTTAAACACACATTCACACTCTATAAAATAGCAAATCTGATTCCCCAATATGGCAGCAATACCAGGCAGGGGAGAAAAAAACGAAATCTGATTCAGAAAAAATTAGCGAATAGCCTCAGATTTGGACAGACTAGAGAAAAATAACTGGGTTTGAAAAGGATACCAAACAGTCTCATCAATAGGAATACTAAAATATAACTATTCAAAACTCCTCTTCTCACTTTCATGGATGGGTTGGAACAGATATTTTCAAAAATAACCATTGCAATACCATTCTCAGATCTTGCATAAGGTGGGTAGAGGGTGATAATAATAATTGTAATTAATTACTAAATCAAACACGAAATTTAGGGCAAATATCTTTTTTTTTCCTTTTTTTTTTTTAAATTCATTATAATCAAGATAGCTTAATCGCCAAATTTGATCTACCTTTATTATAACTGTTTTGAAACAATTACTTTACTGGATGTTTTCATATATGTTTTTGATAAACTATCCCTCTCTCCACTAACTGACATATGAATATAAAGATAATTATTATATAATACAAAAAATAATTTTAGAAAATTTAATATTCACCTATAGTTTCTTCGGACTTGTTATGAAATAATACATCATCTAATTCTTCTATATCCTCTTTTAGTTGATGAATTGCTTTACTCATCCCGGTCCGTTTTTTTGGATTGTGGTAAGCACTTTTTGGGCCTAAAATATTTACATTTGCATTGATAGGTATTATTTAAAATAAAATGATCTAGTTTAAGAACTATAATAAAATATGAAATAAACTATTTGTTATGTTGTTAACAGGTTTTCTTGAATAGCGATTTGTGTTTGTCTCTCAAAAATATGCTTACAGTAAAATAATTTAAATTCTAAGTATCTGAAATGTTCTCACTGGAATGTGTTTTTATAGTATGGTGGTATTTTCACTATAATAAACAAAATTCCACTCATTAATCAAGGCATTCTTTAGTTTGCTACTTATACGATAGAAAGTCCTGGAGATAACTTTCTTTCAGATGCTTCAGAGGAAGATTATAAATTAGATTGGTAAGAGCTGTATATGAAACCAGAGATATTGTTTTCGTAGAATTCATAGATTGCATTTAGGATGTTATGTTAAAAGCTTTTGAGCCCTCAAATCTTGATTCCTTGAGTCTGGAAAACCTGATTTTCATCATTTCATGTGTAATCATGTGAGTGAGCTATATATAATAAATTGGATGTTTACAGTTGTTTCAACAGTTATGATAAGTTGAATGTTGATGTAATTGGCTAAACAAAAGCTTTCTAGACTTCTTGCTGCAGGATTCCATTCCATTCTCTCCACTTTATTAAAGTATACTTTGGGACAAAATACACGGAATTTTAATGAAGGAATGCTCGGATTTATTTTAATCCCTCAATTTCAAAACAATTCTTGAAGGATTTTGATTACTGATGGGCAAAATCGCTCTGTACAGAGTCATATGATAGCAAAGATCTAGTTTTTGTGCTTTTTTTCTTCCAAATTTTCTGAAAATGGTTGCCGTAGTCCTTAAAAAGTTATAGTCAATAATAGTCATTCATTTAAAACAACTTTTTTTCAATCACTAAACTTTCAATCTGTAAAAACATTGATCAGCTAACTGTTTGGATCATATCAAGAGCAAATAGATTATCTTTAATACTGAATGTGACTTAAGATAAATGGATCATTATTTAAAAATAACTGATATATTTCATTGGCATTTATAAGAAGGTTGTGCAAGGATGAGTTAATATTTGGAAACCAAGTAGAAGTAAGAAGAAAGAATATTTCTTTAAAGGACACACAAATATCGTAAAAAGAGGAATTGGTAATTAGACTAAATGGAGCTCTTGGTCCGGTCAACATAAAGAGAGATGCACTATATTCTGTATTGAAAAAACGATTACCTCACATGATGACATAATCATAATGATTATATTTAAGAACATCTCAATAATTAGATTTAAGTAAAACAGTTAAAATAAATAAAGGTTTATACACTTTTACCATTTATATTATTGTTTATGGCTTCATCAGGTTTATTGGCATTTTCAAACGAGCTTAAAGCGTTTAAAAGATTTTCTACCTTATAAGCAATATTTAATAACTGCCCTCCAGGGTTCAGATTAACGCTGGATAATGATTTTTCTTTAGGAGCATCTAAAATAAATATATTTTGAAATTTTAATAACATAATTACATTTTTTTTTAATAGGTGTAAATTAGAAACTATATATATATAAAGGGACTGTGTCCCAGAATAAAATTATTTTTCTATCTATCTATCTATCTATCTATCTATATATATATATATATATATATATATATATATATATATATATATATATATATATATATATTTATATATAACATGACTAAAATGTTACCTTTATAAAAATCTGTGAGGGTTTCTGGGTTATAATACATCTTATAGCTCACATTATGAAATTCTTCCACCCAATCATTAGGATTTTCCTTCATTTCAGGGTTATTAAGGTTTACACCTACTTTTGTAAAGTTCGATGGTTTTTTAGGAATGTTAACAAACATTTTTCCTGCATTAAAAAAGTAGAGTTACTTAAAAGATGCAAGTACTTAAAATTTATAAGAACAATAAAATAGACTTTACGTTTCAAGAAATCCTAAAATATTTAATCATATTAATTTTTCATAGATATATTTCAATTGATTTTAGTAAAGGATATGAATGACATTTAAATTGATGCCATTTAAAATTCCTTGAACTGTGTATATATATATATATATTTATATCGTTTGAGATATTTACATGCTTTGTTCTTCAATAATAAAAATTATATCCACTTTATAATTATTAATGAAAGTAAAAATCTAGTGTAGTGTGCACATCACATAGTTTCACTTTGATTAGAAATAGGTATTCAGACCTTTCCCGATCCTCCTCTATTTAAACTTTTCTAAATTATTATTGTTCGTTTAACTGTTATATTTCACTTACACATAATTTTCAAAAAAGGTTTTCACACAAAAAGTTGAGGATCTACTAATATACAGGATGTCCAGTAAGTAGAGGGAAATATTTAATGAGCTTATAGTAGACCTCAAGAGCCACAAAAAAGTTCATATTAACAATGGGCCTATTTTCTGAGGGGAAATAAGAAATTCAAATTATGTGTTTTTTTTAAGTAAGTCACGTTTTTTTTTTTGTTAAATAGGATGCGATCATTTAAAAAATACTTAATTTAGGCAACTAAGAATTGTACCACAGTAAACTAGACAAAATTTACTTTAAACTAGAGTTTGTCATTGGTAAAACCAATTAAAGAGGACATTTGAGCGGCTAAACTAAACCAAGTTCTATTATTTAAAAAATCATAAACTATTCGCATTTTTTTTAATCACCTTCCAACTATACTACAGTCCCACCACTTTTAGAAAAACTTCCTCGTTTAGTAAGCTATAAGCCCATGATAATTAATCTGAAGTTAATTTGGAACAAATTTCAGATTCGCCTCAAGTTGTGCAAACAAATTAACCTTAACAAAGTTACTTAACAAGCTTGCTCCATCTTTGTCTGTCATGGGTTGTTTCTTTCCATTTATCTGCACGGAGGTCTCTTGCATCTTTGTTGATTCTATCTATCCATCTGCTTTTTGGCTTTCCACGTGGTCTTTTGCCTTCTATTGAGGCATTCATTGTTACGTAGAGGTTTCCTGATGGATTGCTACAAGCTACATGCCCCGCCCATCTTATCCCCCGTGCCTTCATATCATGAGATATTGATTGACAAATTTCTGTAAGCATTTCTTTATTGGTCTTTATTATCCATGTGTTAGTACTCTGATCCCAGATCGCTCTGATTATCGTGCGGAAGATTTTCCTCTCAAATCTTTCAAAACTTTTTTCTAGGGTGCAGATTAGCGTCCAGGTCTCAAAGCTATATATCAGAACTAGATTTATCATAGCATTGTACACCCTTCGTTGCAAACAAAATTATGTGATTTAATATTCCGTCACCTAAAACGACCTGTTTTTTAAGCAAAAAATGGTCAAAATAAATCATTGTAAAGCTTTGTTTCCCATGACCTAAGTTGTATTATACCAAATACATATCTATAAATACAATTTTTATTAACTGAAAAAGTTAAAAATAGTGATTTTTCGAATATTTATCATCTAAAGTGATACTGAACTATATGTTGTTTTTTTTTGCCACGATATCTACTATAGGAATCGGTACATATTTATTAGTGACCAATTTGAAGTTTTCTGATCCTAATATTTTCTTTTGAAATAAGGAAACCTGTTGATTGCTCCAATAATTTTTATGTTAACATAAATATAATGATTAGGAACATTTAGTGGGTCACTTATAAATACAGACCAATTATTGTAGTAGAGATCTTGGTAAGGAACAAACAGTTCCATTATCACTTAACATAATAAATATTCGAAAAATCATTATTTTTTACTTTTTCGGAAACAAATAAATGAAAGCTTTGCAATGATTTATTTTTATCATGTTTGCTTTAAAAATAGTTAGTTTTAGATGACAAGATAACAAATCACATAATAGTTTTACTTAAAAATCTCAAATTTTCGCCTAATAAAACTCAATTTAATTAGCATAGACTTTAAGCTTATTATACGAGGAAGTTTTTCTAAAAGTGAGGTTGGAGAGTAATAAACTAAAGTCGCAAATAATTCATGATTTTTTTTATTAAAGCAGAACTTGGTTTAGGCGCCTAATGACGCCTTGGCACCGGGACGCGAACTCATGACTATTTTTGTATCATTTATCATATATCAGGTTGCCAAACTACGGTGGTGCTGTGCACAACGAGTTAGCCCATTCGGCCACCCCGCCCACACTATCACAATCCGACTGACTTACATTCAAGACGATGCAGCCCTAAAATATTGTTTGAAACGCAATGGTGACAAGGACCACAGTGGTTGAGCGATTCATCGGAAGAATGGCCAGAAGCACAAAAGATATCATCGCAGATTGAGATAGAAAGTGAAAGAAGAAAGACCAATATGACAGCAACGACGGTCTTTAATTTAAAGAGACTCTTTGATGCGACTTCCAAAAAAAAAAAAAAAACACAAATCTTTAATTTCTTACTATTCTGCTGAAAATTGGACCATTAATTGTATACATTTTTAAGTAGGTCTTGTGGTCTGTTATCACCCATTTAAATATTTCCCTCTATTTATATGCCCATCTGTATATCTAATAATATGTAATATTTATTATAATTAATTTTTTTTTTAAATGTTCCTTCTCATCCTCATCTCCCGCAACTATACCGACTCCTGTGTGTTTCCCTATAAATTTTAATCCTGATCAATTCTTTTTTTCCCATATTACACCTGATGACCTCCTCAACTCCATTCAAAATTCGCAAACCAATGATTATGGATCCGATAGCATCCCATTCAGATTGATCAAAGCCTCACTACCATCCATCCTTCCAATCCTCTACCATATCTACAATTACTCACTACAAAACGCTACCTTTCCTACATCCTGGAAAACCGCACTTGTTAGCCCTATAAAAAAGACTTCCAACACATCAACTCTCAATGATTTCCGTCCAATTTCACTCCTCTCAAATCTTTCCAAACCTTTAGAGCGACTAGTTCAAACCCAGTTATCCGATTTTTTAGAACAGAATAACCTCCTAAATCCCAACCAGTCCGGTTTCCGGCCTGGCTACTCCACTCAGTCTGCCCTCATCAAAATTTCCCGAGACCTTCATACAGCCATGGACCAGCAGAAACTCACCATCCTTATTCTCCTTGACTTCTCCAAAGCCTTTGACTCAGTAGTTATGGTCTATTCTCCTAACCAAACTTAAAAATATTTCCTTCTCAACTAGTACCCTTAATTGGTTCCAATCCTTCCTTTCCGACTGCTCCCAGTATGTTTTAGTCCCCAATTACCCCCATCAGAATCTTTACCTTTGTCCAGGGGTGTCCCACAAGGCTCCTCTTTATCTCTCACCCTTTTTTCCATCTACATCAATCACCTTTCATCCTCTATCCTACACTGTCAATATCATCTGTACGCCGACGACGTCCAGATTAACCTCTTTTCAATCCAACCGAATCTTCTGGCGCCATCCAAAAATTATAGGAAGATATAAACGCAATATTTGCCTGGGCAAATCATAATAGGATTACTCTAAACGCCAATAAGACGAAAGCCATTCTGATCGGACCTCCCTCACTCCTCAAATCCATACAGGTACTCCCCAATATTTTCCTGAACAACTCACCTATCTCATTCCATACTTCCGTAAAAAACCTTGTGGTACATTCGATCAAACCCTCTCCTAGAAACCATACAGTTCCCTAATTTCCCATCGTACAATCTCTACCCTGAAACAGTTTAACCGTCACCGCTATCTCCTTTCATATAAATCCCGTCAACTACTGGTTTCCTACCTTGTGTTCCCCCACTTCGACTATAGATGCTGGTGTACGGCGGACACTCGGGGAATTTGAGGCCAAACTTAAACGCCTAATGAACTGCACAATACGTTTTGTTTTCTGAATAACAAGAGATACACATATAACTCAGTATTACACCAAGTTGAAGTGCCTCTATCCATCCAACAGCTGTCTCTACTCCCTTGCTACCTTTCTATACCAAGTCATCAGAACTCAGGGGCCTTCCTATATTTTTCACAGCCTACAATTCAAATATTCCATTCAATCCCGTCTCACTAGATCTCGTACCTCTGACCTCTATCCACCTCCCCACCGAACTGCAGCATTTGACAAATCCTTTATAATTCAAGCCGTCTCCTTCTGGAATACCATCCCTCCCGGTATCTTACATGTACAATCAGTTTCCTCATTTAAATCTCTCCTTTTTAACCACCTACTCCTTTCCCAACCCGATTGATCATGAAATATAGATAAGAGAACTTTTAAAGCTCCCCAGAAGTGATTTTCTTTACTTATGCTATTTTATTTTCCCACGTTTGTATTATACATATCAGTATGTTTTTAGTGTAATAGTTCTATTTTTTGTTTTATTCTTTTTCCAAAATCCTAATCTTAATAATAATTGTAAATAATTAATTTTATGTATGGTCACACAGGCATTCATCCTGTATCTGTAATTTGTTCTAAAGGGACAACAGTCCCAGGATAATAAAAAAATATTTTCATTTCATTTAAAAAAAAATTGGACCATCAATTACATAAATTTTTAAGTAGGACTAGTAGTCTGTTATCACCCATTTAAATATTTCACTCTATTTAAGGGGCACTCTGTATATCTAATAATATGTAATATTTATTATAATTAAAAAAAAAAAATTTAATGTATTTCGTGGTAGTCGTTTCCGATGAAGCTTAGAATTTTTCTGGTCAACAAGTAGTTATTTTTTAACTTTGATATTATAATATTATGAAATAGATTAAGGAAACAAATGAGGCTTAGATGAAAACTTTTACACCACAAAAACACCTTTATTCTCCTCTACATGTCACAATAACAAACAAAAACGAAATCCTACTGAGGTTACTTAACCAAAGCCAACTCTGCTGTATTTGTAAT